GTGGGTGTGGAGGTGGTGTGTGTGTGTGGGTGTGTGGTGAGTGTGGAGGTGTGTGCGCAGGTGTGGAGGTGTGTGTGTGGGTGTGGAGGTGTGTGTGTGTGTGGGTGTGTGGAGGAGCAGCAGGTGCTTTATTGGGAAAGCTATCTCCCCAGGCCACACCCATGCGTTTTGTAAACTTAAAGGCTCCCAGAGGCTCTGTCTTTTTTCCTCCTTGCTCATCCAGTTATAGATGAATTAACTAATTCTTTTTTTTTTTTAAGATTTATTTATTATGTATACAGAAGAGGGCACCAGATCTCATTACAGATGGTTGTGAGCCACCATGTGGTTGTTGGGAATTGAACTCATGACCTCTGGAAGAGCAACCAGTGCCCTTAACCTCTGAGCCATCTCTCCAGCCCCCCGAATTAACTAATTCTTAAGAAGCAGTTTCTCGATATGATATCCAGGCTGGCTCTGAGCTGCTGGACTCAGGTGATTCCCGAGCAGCAGGGACACACTAAGCTCTTGCCTCTACGCTGTCCCTTGTCTCCTCAGTTTCACGTCCAACTTGAGTCTGGAGCTTCTGTGTTAGGTGACCATCTCCTTTCCCGGCTGATGCCCCATCCTCCTCCTGTGGATGATGGCTGTCATTCAGTGTCTTCCCTGTGTCCATTCGTTTAGTGTAAACCCAGTCTCTAGGATGATATCACCTTCTCCAAAGCTTCCCACTACCTTCCTTCCCATCACTTTTGCCTTTGGGACATACCCAAGGTGGCCTTGGGTAATAGAACTAATAATAACTAGCAATAACTAGTAATAGAACTCACCATCCTATTACTAGTCATCTCTCAGCTTCATTTATTATTTCAGAGTATTCCAAACACAGTACAGGCGTGACATGGTGCCCTTCAATGCTTTAGTATGCATCTTTAAAGAATTAGACTGTTTCCTTGCATTATCATATCACTATCAAAGCTAGCAAATTTTATTTTACACTTTTTTTTTCTTGCATTGATAGAGATGGAACCCAGGGCCTTGAGCATGATAAACAAGTGTTCTATCGCTGAGGTACCCTGCTCCAGGGCTAATAAACTACGGTCATGTCTGTTTCTCATTCCCCAACCTTGAAGCTGAGAGTTTGCCCTTTCATCAAGGTTACCTTGGAGAATACTACTCACCTCTGAGGAATCCACTCCCTCCCTGAGCTCTTGTGGCTCACAGGAGTTTCTGCCCTCCTTCAGTGTGGACAGAACGTGGTTCTGTGTTCTGGTAGAGGACAGACCCACCCTATTTCTCTCCTTGCTGCCCTGTGCCCAGTACAGGCCTTGCATCTAATGGAAGCACAATGAGAAAACTCATGAATACTCTTTTCTCAGGCATGCAAAGGGAGAGCCAGGTCTAGAATGTGCGTGGTGTCTTCTCCTGGGAGGATGTAATTCTGGAAAATGTTTCTCGGCCCAGCCAGCCTAGACCATTGCCTTATCTTTTTTTTTTTTTTGAGACAGGGTTTCTCTGTGTAACTTTAGAGCCTGTCCTGGAACTCACTCTGTAGACCAGGCTGGTCTCAAAATCACAGAGAACCGCCTGCCTCTGTCTCCCGAGTGCTGGGATTAAAGGCGTGCGCCACCATCGTCTGGCCCATCGCCCTAACTTTGCATTTTCTTTTTTAGTAGATTTACATTGTGTGGGAAGTGAAGTAAGCCTGGAGTGAATGTGTACGGAGCAGTCTTTATAAAGACCCCAGTGCCACAGACCCACAGGAATTGGCAAAGCGTCTCCCAGGTCTCCCCACGTCAGGCTCGGGGAATCAGCAAAGCCTTCCTTTGGTTCCTGTGTGAATGCGGAAAGAGTTCATGGAAAGCATCGAACAGCAGCTTCCTCCCACCTGCTGTGTACAGCCTGACCACTCCCTCCCCTCCTCCTGTCACTGTACACAGTCAACTGAGTTTCTGCATTGCATGCTGGAGCTTCTCCGTCAGAAGGTACACATGCCCCACCCGCTCTCAGCTTTTCTGTACACATGCCTGTCCTTTCTTCATTCCCTCATTATCCCAGTCGGTCTCCAGGTCACAAGCTGAGCTGGATGAGGTGACATTGTTTGGGTTTCATTATGACATTTCTCTTTTCTTCTTCTTCTTCTTTTTTTTTTTTTGATTGTTTGTTTTTCGAGACAGGGTTTCTCTATGTAGCTTTGCACCTTTCCTGGAACTCATTCTGTAGCCCAGGCTGTCCTCAAACTCACAGAGATCTGCCTGCCTCTGCCTCCTGAGTGCTGGGATTAAAGGTGTGTTCCATCATTGCCTGGCTTTATGACATTCCCTTGCATGAATATTTACCCCTGTTATTCCCTTTTTTAAAAAAAATTTATGGGTGTTTTTGCCTGCATATATGTGTGATGGTGTTGGGTCCTGGAGTTACAGACAGTCGTGAGCTGCCATGTGGATGCTGGGAATTGAACCTCAGTCCTCTGGAAGAGCAGTCAGTGCTCTTAACCTCTGAGTCACCTCTCCAGACCCCTGTTATTCCCTCTTATTCATCCCCTGCTTTCTTTTCCCTTCCACATCCCTAACAGTAATCCTGCATTTACTTTCATGTCCTTTTAAAAATCCAGAGTTCATATAAGAGAAAACATGTGATGCCTGTCTTTGTGGGACTGGCTTTCACTTAACATGGTGACCTCCAGGTCTATCTGTTTTCATGCATATTACCTCTCTGTTATGTGTGGTGTATGTCTGTGTATGTGTGTGAAGTCAGGAAAGGACGCTGGGTGATGTGGAGTATCAAGTTGTGTTACATTTGTTTATGCTGTGGAATATTTGTTTAATGATGCAAAGATGTGCTGCATTCTTTTATGTTGCATTTGTGTAACTCTGTGAAGCTGTGTTACTTTGCCTATCTGACACACCTGATTGGTCTAATTAAGAGCTAAACAGCCAATAGCAAGGCAGAAGAAAGGATAGGAGGGGCTGGCGGGCAGAGAGAATACTTAGGAGGAGAAATCTGGGAGGAAGAAATCAAGGAATGAGGAAAGGAGGAGAGGGAGAGGAGGATGAAAGGGGCCAGCCACCCAGCAACACAGCCAGCCACGGAGTAAGAAGTAAAGAAAGAAATACAGAAATGGAGAAAGGTGAAAGCCCAGAGGCAAAAGGTAGACAGGATAATTTAAGAAAAGCTGGCTAGAAACAAGCCAAGCTAAGGCCAGATATTCACAAGTCATCATAAGTCTCTGTGTGTATTTATTTGGGAGCTGGGTCGTGGGTCCCCAAAAGCAAACGAGCCAAAAGAGTTAAAAACAACCAGCAACCTCTGGGTGTCCTGCATCATCATTCTCCACCTTGTTCCCTTGAGACAGGGTGTCCCCCTGAACTCGGGGCTAGCCTGGTGGCCATCGAGTCCCAGCGAGTGAACAGTGCCAGGGTGCTCGTGGGTCCCACCTGTTTTTATGTGGGTGCTTGGATCAGAACTCAGGTCCTCATGTTCACTCAGTGCTCTTACCTTCTGAGTGATCTCTCCAGCCCCTAGAACACATGCTTTTTTTAAAATCTTATTTTAAAAGTAATTATGTCTATATGTGTATTGCCTTCAAGTATATATGTGTGCTATGTGTGTGCCTGATGCCCAAGAAGGCCAGAAGAGGCCATCAGATCCCCTGGAACTGGAGTCACAGGGGTTGTGGGCTGCCATGTGCGTGCTGGGAATTGAACTCAGGCCCTCTGTAAGAGCAAGTGCTCTGAACAGCTGAGCCATCTCTCCAGCCCCCACTTCTCCTTCTCCTTCCTCCTCCTCCTCCTCCTCCTCCTCCTCTTTTTGAGACAGGGTCCCAGCATGTACCTCAAGCTGGCCTGGAAGTCATGACCATCCTGTTTCAGCTTCTTGAGTGTTGGAATAGGTATACGCTATCACGCCCAGGTCCTTCATTTATTTGATACTGATTTATCATTTGTTTATTTACTTATTTTTGGACACAGAGTCTCATACTTTAGGCTGTTCTCAAACTCCTTAGGTAGCCAAGAATGATCTTAAATTTTTGAGACTTCTGTCCCTACCTCATGAGGACAGGAATTATAGGTATGTATCATAATAATGCCTGGTTTACATGAAGCCAGGTTGTTTTTTTTTTTTTTTGTTTTTGTTTTTGTTTTTGTTTTTGTTTTTTTGTTTTCATACTAATCTAGCACTCTACCAACTGAGTTACATCTTCAGCTCAGGTTTCTTCTTTCTTTCTTTCCTTCTTTCTTTCTTTCCTTCTTTCTCTCTCTCTCTCTCTCTCTCTCTCTCTCTTTCTTTCTTTCTTTCTTTCTTTCTTTTTCGTGAGATAGGGTCTTGCTTTGTGGCCCAGGCTGGTCTTGAACTTGACATGATTAAATGATCCTCCTGCTCCAGTCTCCCAAGTGCTAG